TGCACCATGTTGTCAAAAAACATGTAAAACTGGTTCAGTTGGCGCCAAAATTAGATATTCAAAGCACCTTTGTGAAGAGATGTGAACGCGTATCGGCAAGTGAAAGGCTTCAAGTTTAATTAATTTCTCACTCAATCATTTTCTCTGAACTGAAGTCCCTGGACACCGAAAATAGAAACCTAATCCCTAAAAACAATAAAAGCAAGCTCCTTTGTGATCATTAAGTTAGTGGCGAACTGTAATTGGCAATCTGATCCAGTACGACAGCTCCTCATATCACCTGATGTCAAACTGACCCAGACGCTAACCAATGCGTCTCAGTATGTAGGCCTGAGGACCGTCTTCACCAATGATATTATCATATAACATAAACTCATAAGCATGATTTGGAGGAAATACAAGGCAATGCCATACACCACTCCCGACCTATGCATTTCGGTATGGGTTAATATTTTTCCATCCGTTGTACAATGTGTGGTTGCTTGTCAAATCGATTAGAAAAGACACAATCTAATTTGCATTGGCAGCGTTGTAACATGATCTAATGATATCTTTCCGCCCTAGTATATGGCGGATGAATAGAAACATAGGTCACATTGCCATAAGAATAGGTGTTGAGATGTTCCGTCGAAACCCAATTTCAGGACACAGTCAGTGTTTATATATTTATATGAAATATATTGCAACTATTGCCACTCCCAGTCTTTTCGATACCTCAAATGTACTTGATTTGATACTTGAAATCGAAAACTAGATTCATGCGACCGAGAACATCCCTACTTCAGCACCTAGGTTAAAACTACCTGAACGAATGTAAATGTTACATTAAACATCTTTCGAAAACCTCCAAGCCAACAAATAAATATTCTACGATTGCAACATTGCCTCTGCAGCATTAGTTCTAAAACGATCTGTGGAGAAATAAATGCCAAATACCTGAACGCAAACCAAATCCAATTTCTAATGAAGGAAACGGCGCCTTCCGGTATAACTAGGCATGATTTCAACAGACATGACACTCAGCGTTTTCCATTTAATCAGCATTTGACAGGAATAGCACACGAATATTCATGTGTGAATACCTGACTCGCTTAAACTCTTTCTGTGCATTGATATCTAAATACACGCTTGTTTTCTTTATGATTTCTACAAAAAAAATGAAGTAAGCACGCGTGCATTCTATCTGTTGATAATCCTTGGTTATACACTGTAATATTGTAAGAACCATCAGAGGGAAAGACGTTAGTAAGGACGTAAGAAAGGAAAATTCAAATACTTGACAACGACATATACCTTGGTCTGTAGAAAGGACACTAGGTGTTCACTGTGTCCTACGTGTTAAGTATTGTTTGAACACAACAAAATAATTTGCTTTTCTTTAATTATTCCTCAGCCACACACCGATAATGGAAGAATAAAGAGGCCAATACCAGAGATGGATGGTACAGTGATTAAAGAGTTGGCATGTCAGAAGGCTGAATACCTTGGTTCGATTCCCCACAAGGGCACAATTCTTAAAGCCATAAGTGGTGTCAACGTTATGGATGATATAGATGGAATGAAGTTAAAGCAGGGTTAAACACCCAAACTCACTGTCTCATTCAACGTTTAGTTTGATTCAATTATGCATTCCGATACTTTGGTTAAAGTTAGAGTGAGTGAACTGGAGTGTATTGAAAGCCGCTTTGAACAGCATGTCAGTTATATAAAAGGCTGTCAGTGTCATCTTCATGTGGGAGGAATGGTGAAACCCCTAATATTAGTATCAGAAGAAGAATGAATGAAGGCCACATGGCCCAGAGTTCATTTACATGAATAATATATGCTGTGCACATGTACATATTTTCTTACAGCAAACGTTCATATTTTTTACATTTGTATTTACATAGGTAAATGTCTTTTCAAATATATGGACAGGTTTTTAATAACAGAATCTCTGGTAGACAGAAGCCTGATCAATTTTGGAACAGATGGTTGCACATGGTAATATTTTGGAATTAAATTTCCTCTACTACTTTTATAAGAAGGACAAGTTATTAATTAACAAAAATGGTATTTTGTATTTCATAGCGGTTACATTTTGTACATAAACTAAACGATGACTATGTGGTTGTATTAAATCGAGTTTTCTGTACATTTAGATTATGGCTTAAACATACCATTTTGAACTAGGAATCTACTTGGATTTTAGAGATCCGGGTTGAATGATAATTGTTGAACCTCACATAGAAGGGCTTGACCTAAAGACATTAAAGTGAAGTATTCTTTTAACATAATCTCCTTCCAAATTGGTACACTTTTGCCAACGATGTTGGAGGGATTTTTTCTCAGTTTTCATCTCTTTGGTTTTCAAATTAACGTTTTTCACAACCTTTATGGCGTAATCTTTGGAGTCGAAATTAGATTCGGCCTGAGCTTTCGTAATGTTTGGGAACAGATGGAAGTCTGACGGAGCCAGACCAGGAGAATAAGGTGAGTGCTGAGGGAGTTCAAGGCCACACAAGTGGATTGAAGCCATGGCAATGACTGATTTGTGCACATGGGCATTGTGCAGATAGAAGAGCATACCCTTTTTCGGCTTCCCACTTCTCTTATGTCTTAATTGCATCAAAGGCCAGCAAGATATGCTCCGTTTATTGTCTGTCCACGATACCACGATGACACCTTCGACATCCCAGGGGGCGGTGGAGTAGCCTAGGTGTTAAAGCGTTGGATCGTCACGCCGAAGACCCGGGTTCTATTCCACACATGAGTATTATGTGTGTAGCCCATTTGCCGGTGTCCCCCGCCGTGATATTGCTGGAATATTGCTAAAAGCAACGTAAAACCATACTCACTCACTCACTCACTCACTCGTAATCCCAGAACACGGAAGACATAACCCTTTCTGCTGATGGAACATTCTTTGCCTTCTTTGGTCGTAGTAATGTCAAATGCTTCCACAGTCTTGATTGTTGTTTGGACACGAGACATGTTGTACCTTGGTGCGTTGTTTTATCAGATATCAGAAGCTTTGGAACCCAACGATCTGATACTCTCTTCATTGCCAAGACGGTGGTCGTCTTCAAGACGCTCACACGCTTATACCCTGCTACCCAGCTCTTTACGTTTGCATATGAATGGGCATCCTTCCATAGTTTTGAACTTATAGCTTCATGGATGGCTGCATGCACTTGATCACTGTCCGTTTCTGAAGTTTGTCCATTTTCCAAAGGTCTCAGACCACTGCTTATTTTACTGATTTGCAATGGGAATATCTTGTTTTTCGAGCTGATTGGACTTGTGCACCTCGAAACTAAAGGTCGGGACTCGCTCAACTCGTAAATATCCGTACACACCACTTGTGATCATTTACAAACAAAGTGACCACTGCCAGATTCTTTAACGAGTAATAATAGTAATAATAGTTCCCCTAAATGATATATGTATAATACGTAGTCATGCGAACCATGGGGTAGATAATGTCATATCTACATGCATGTATTAAAGAAGTAAACAAATAGTATAATATTTCTAAGAAAGAGAATTTATGGATATCAACCTCTTTATTATGAGGAACACAACGTTTCGGATTATATGCTTACTTTTTCATCAGGTGAAAAGGAGACAGCGAGCATATGTATGTACATTTAATTACATGAACAAATAGAAAATAAGATAACAAAAGGTGGAAACTTAAAAAGGGAAGCCAACAGATAATTGGCGCTGATAGGCGATTAGCAAATAAATACTATTAGACAATGGAAGCCAACACTTTTCAGTAATTAGCGCTCATAGTTATGGACAACTAGAAGCCAAGACTAAATAATCGTTGTGTTCCTTATAATAAAGAAGTTGACATCCAAAAATTGTCTTCCTTATGTGTATCACTTTTTAAATGCCTTTCAAACCTATAATATTTCTATAGCTATTTTTTTCCTACTGACTCATACTACGGTTATCAATATATGCATTTACCTGTTGTGACAGTAAATGGTATTTTTATATATATTTTCATGTTTACCCTGAGAACATTCTAAACGTAGATAACTAAACGGGATATAAGGATAGGTCTTCTTTTGCGTTACATAAATACTCTCGTGTTTCACTTATTTCAGAACCGCCTTCTTTCTTTAATGGATAGAGAGTTACTTCGAGGATTGGAAGGTCGGTGGTTCTTGCACACCAAAGACGTTCAAAAGACGGTACTTGCTGTTATCCTGCCTGGCGCTTGACATAAGGGAGGTAAAACAAGGACTGGTCGGCTCGGAGTCATTACCAATGAGTCTGAGTGAGGTATCCATGTTAAACTGCGCATGGTAGCTCAAAACCGGGTTATGTCCTTGCCAGTACAAGCAGCCACACACACACGTGCATGGACGTCGCAATGCCGGTGAAGTAATTTTGAACGCGACGTTAACTCATTTCACTTCACCACTGACTTCAGGAGTAAACGTTGACTGTATCATATTTAGAAACGCATGCACGAGTGATCAATATTTAAGAAATATGCAGATTTTTTTTTAAAAAGTGATAGGGACAAGTCATTTGTCATTGGCGTGTTATAATTTGTTAATACACTTACATAAAATCATAAAGCTCCCCTGTACAATCTATATATCAAAGTATACTACATGCTATCGATGGGGCACTCACGATCAATTAATGTAATTAACAATGCGAAGATGTGTACAGTGATCTCGAAAACCACGAGTCGTACCTTTAGATAATCCAACTGTATGTAGCTGAAATGTCAAACGTAGATTACAAATGCAACACCAATAGTTTAAAAACTAGTATTTGAAATTGCAAAGTATGACTAACCGTTGCTAATACCACATAAGATAGTGCAATGTCATTGCAAATGTGAGATTTGAGTCATTGTCAATGTTCTAACATCACTACATAAGGTGCGAAAGGTTATATAATCCAGTGAATATTTTCGATGTCATCTGAGTTTTAAGAGGTATCCAATGGAATGAACAAAGAACATAAATGTTCCTCTAAACTACAACACTTACCAGCAATCTGTTCTTCTGATAATGGTATGGGTTCTGGGTTCTGAAAAAGTAGAAGATCAATATTTTCAGGCTATTTCTGGTAACATTGCATTCAAGCGAAAGCTATCGTAAAACATGGCGTCCTGAAAATTAGACAGCTATTTGTCAAATCATTCCGAAGTTCCGAGAGCAGGTTCAGTGTATCGATAAACTAATTAAACCCGCCACTGACTTTTTGCAGCATCTGTTGACTCGTGTTAAATGTTGCTGTCTCATCACTTAAAGTGTCCACGTAATACATGGTATGAAAAAGGCATAATATGAAGTAGGTTTTTCTGCTTTATTTCCTTCTTTCTCCGATCTACTCGAACAATGTAACACTTTGTTCGGGAAGTAGAGAGTGTTTTGTTTCAAAACCAGATATTTTTAACCATACTAAAAATATGTTTAAAGCAAAGCTGGAAAACTCAAACACTAGAAGGCAATGTGAAATACGTTATTTTCGTTCCGTTTTGTCCCGTTAATGTAGTGCCAAAATTTCCCTATCTTAGTTAACCATAGCCACATATCTCATTTCGCCAGATATCTGGATAAATTATATTCTCCACATGATCAAATAACGACCGCTCATTGAACATAATCGTTTGGCTGTGTTTAGGGTATGTTAGGGTCGGTAGATATTTGCAGACGCCAGAAGTGACGGGATATTACGCTCATTAACGTATCTTGTTGCATACAAGAGAAACAATGACATCGAGTTCACAGGAAGCAAACTCCTTTCAACCCATATCAATTTGGTACAGTTATTCCGAGACAACATGTGGCCACACGATTCAATCAGACTCCCGCATCGTTTACCATCAAGCTAATGTACAACCTGGTCTTATTGTTATTGTCTTGTTAAACCCATGACAACACTCCAGTCGGAGGCCTCTTGAGATTGACAATTTCAATTGCCTCCTTTGGGGCTACCAATTCAATTTGTAAACATATGTCCATAAAATATAAATTGCGCCGAGAACGTAACATCACATTCTATCACTGAAGCTAGACAGCCAACACTAACAGAGGCAATAAATATGAACATATACATACATGTATATGTATGGAATAATTTAATGGTAAGATATTCAATGATCCTATATGAAAAGGGGATGCGTAGCCTGTAGATTTAATATGTTGTGTGTCAAATAGCCATGCTGGCATCCGGCTGGATAGTGTTCAGACATTACTCAACCCGTGCTCGTTGCTTTCAATAACATTGTAACCGTCTTCGACTTGTTCCTCTTTTCACTTTTAGTGACATTAATGAAATGATTATACCTTCAATGTCAAACAAGTGTCACATGAAACATTACTATCCCCGGGTGTTTCGAAAACTAGGGACTGACCGCGGATCCTTACAATGTGTGTGAGTTGGTTTACAACTATCATTGTGGATCGTTTCTTGTGCCTTTAACCAATGAAGTTTTAAGTCGAGACTCGATAATTTAAAGGTCGTATTTCAGTCACATGTGGATCCGTCAAATGTTAACAATGCGCAGTTCAGCAGAATCAAAATGTTATGTCAACCTGACCTATCATAGTTTAGCTTTCATTTTATGGTCTTAAATCTGCCTAATATTGGACGTGATATGTGACATATGAAGATACCCACCACACGCTATATGTTGCGACCCTTGATCTATTTCATAGAGACCAATTTATCTGGCTATCGATTTGATAGTCACTTATCATTCGCACACCCAAATGTCAACAAAATTGCGGCCAAAATCTGTCTGTGGAGAGCTCAAAAGTTCAAGTTCACGGTTAAAACATTCAAGGCCTCAGAATAACTCCAAAATGTGATATAGCAGACACGCGTCATTCCCTACACGTGGCTATAAATTTGAGGCTTCAGTAACCAAATTGTTGTCCGATGAAATTAACTTGTACCATGTTCTCCGGTTTGCTTGGATGGATACTTGACTTGCCATGGCATGTATTTGTGACGGGTGTTTGAATCGTAAAATCAGATACATGTACGTTAACATTCGTGAAGGGAGGGATTTTTTCGCTTTGAGCAGAGAATTCCCATGTTTATGGAAACGGTTTTATCGCTGTTATATAGATGATAACAGGCATTTTCTTCCCTTTGTACAAATTCAAAATCAGATACATGTACGTTAACATTCGTGAAGGGAGGGATTTTTTCGCTTTCAGCAGAGAATTCCCATGTTTATGGAAACGGTTTTATCGCTGTTATATAGATGATAACAGACATTTTCTTCCCTTTGTACAAATTTAACATCAGATACATGTACGTTAACATTCGTGAAGGGAGGGATTTTTTTAATTTTCAGCTTCGAAAGCATTGTACTGTTCATTTACATTAAACAGCGATATGAAGATGACGTAACAATGACGTTAACGTTTTCAGCGGTAACAAGCTGTTTCACGCACTAGTATACATGATCGCAAGCCAACGCCGTTTATGTTGATGGTAGCGATCCCCTGAAATAGTCGTGACTAACAAATATCATGACAAACAAATCATGATTTAGGGAAATGTTTCTGTATGTAGACGTTCACCACAGTAATCATCCAGGGGACGTCGTTTCCAGATTTAAAGGATCCGGACTAACGAGGTAAGATGAGATTAAATGGGGTTTAAAGGTTGCAAAGATTGTTATACTTATATAGCGACGTGCATGCATGCATGTAGTCTGAACATAACCGATTATATGATGCTAACCCACTGAGAAACCATGCCGCCGTTTAACATGGATACTCGGGGTCCGAATTTTAGTCCGTTAATGCCGAGCGCCAGGCAGGGTAACCACAAGTACCTTCCGACAACGTCGTTTAGTATGACGCGGCCAGGTGATCGAACCATTCCGCTCGCCTGACAAACGCTCTATCCACGACACCAAGGAGGCGGGCTAACGAGGTCTCACAGTTTATAACATAATGCATATCGGCGGAATAGAAATTTCTATATGGGCACTGCTGTCTGTGCTGAAACCCAATCTATTTAGAAAGCGATTCGGACAATCTGATCGCTTATTTGTGAAGAGTATCGACTTTTCCAAAAACAAATATTCAGTAATGCTTGTCGAAGGCAAAACGTAGATAACAAAACATTGCCTCCTAACGTCAAAGAGGAACGTTATCGTGACGGTTCCGATCTCGCCATCGATGCTAAAACCATGTTGTGTTTATTCTGCTCCTTCATTATACCCTTAGGGGTGATCTGGTAGCTGTTTTTGGAATGCGAACCATTGGAATTCATTATCATGCACAATACACGAAAAAACACTCCGGGGGTAGGGTAAACAACTGTCAAATTAAGCATGTAGCAGAGAAGTAGTCTCACCTACGAGTATAACTGCAAACTCTCACTGATCTCCTCTTACTGTTCATATGTAATGTACTATTTCTTCAGTAGCTATAACAGGCCGTTGCTAGGAGACACTAGTGCCTAAGTATAACTCACCCTTCAATCAGAAAAATGAAGTGCACTTTGGGTTCCAAATAGCTGGCTAACGAAGGATATGTAGTGTTGAAACAGGAGAATCGAAGTTCTTGATTATCACATATCAAAAGAGTACCATACATTCCGAGACCCGATGTATGTCTGTAGTTATATATGGCATGCTATCCTACTTCCGGTAACGGCAAGTGTTTGACCACATTCATTACACTGTATAGATTTCCGAAAGGTAATATCGGTGTTTTGTGTCGTGAACAAATACAGCTTGCCATCTTTGATATCGATGGCATTGAACAAGATGTATCAATTGAAAGAAACATTTTGAAGAAAACTTAGAGTTCTTTTGTACCTGTACCGAAAAGTGAGAGAAAGAAACATGTATACGTACATGTCTGCAGGCCAAAGGGACTAAAGTAAATATTTGTTGTTCACTTAGACGGCTCATGGTGAGTGAGTGAGTTTGTGAGTTTGATTGGGTATTTCAATTATATCACCACTTGTCAGCTTTAAGTGGCTGGAAAGCCCGAAGTAATGCAAGTTTTAGACGTTTACCACTTTGATGAAACCCACGAGCACGAGTATGGTGCTAACAAGTCTAGAAACAGAATCAGGCAGAAACTGGAATTCAAACCTACTATGCACAGTGCCTCAGACAAGGGTTTCAGCAAAGGGCATGATGTGACAAATAACAAACAATATATGCCATATATAGGACTTAGACTTTGTGAGGTTTCTCAGGAGATGAAGGTAAAGACAGTGCCAACTGATGGTGATAATTTCAACTTGGGACTTGAACTGTATAGTTAGCATTGCCGATATGGTGGAATTGTTTTACCTAAAAAACACTCTTCGGTGAATTTGTAGTACTCGATATTGTAGCAAATATTGACGATATAAGGGTAAATCTCAATCAAACGAACATTCTCACAAAATTCCCTTTAACTCTTGCCATTTATACAATAGCATCCTTCAAATAATTCGACCAAAGCCTCCACTGGTAATATTCAATTACCTCTATGGGCAATTGTACTCACCTACATGTACACAAGCAATATATATTCACCTATGTAAGCCAACTGTATTCACCTTTACACGATATATACATTCACCTATAAAGGCAATTGTCTTTGCCTACACAAGAGATATGTATTCACCCCCTAGTACATAAGAAATATGTATTTACCTCCACCAATACTATACATTTACTTATATAGGCAATTGTATTCACATACACCAAGACAATTCCATAATTATGAGAAATATCTACAAAAAAAGAGTTCATGTGTTTATGCATCAATACCAAATAGTGATGATAACAGGTGTTACGAAAAGGCAAGTGCATCCTGTCCCATCGGTGACAACCGTCACAAACACATGAAAAGGCAAGGCAATTATTCAAATGAATGAACACAGGACCATATGGTTCAAGTTAAAATAGGGAAGTGCGTCATTTTTGTTACTGAAATTTGGTAATGCCCTCAACAGGTCTAGCATAAAACAATTTGAAAGCTTTGCTTGGGCCTTGAATATTGTAACATTGATCAAACAACATAGTGAACAAGAGTCGTGTGACGTTCTTTGATATCTTG